TGTGACGCCCCTAAAACTGGGGGTCCTTTGTCAACCGTTGACCAAATACCCATGATTGTCGCCCAATCTGACATCACGTCAATAGAATCCCTTTAACCGGGATTGTTACCCAAGCATATAACACATGCGTATTTTTCCATTTGACCCAACCAGGTCCAATATACCATGATTTATCTTTATTTTATGTCCATTTATATTCTCGGAACCAAAAAACTCAAAGTCCAAAACCATGGCAAAACAATTTTTAAAATTTCAATTTTTGGAAGGTGTACCAGTATGAGTTGCCCAATGAACCTCGCCATAGCGGTACGCTCTACCAGTATGAATTGCCTATTAGACCTCGTCATACCTGTACTNGTCCATTTATATTCTCGGAACCAAAAAACTCAAAGTCCAAAACCATGGCAAAACAATTTTTAAAATTTCAAATTTTTGGAAGGTGTACCAGTATGAGTTGCCCAATGAACCTCGTGTATCGCCATGCGAGATGGTCATACTTAACGGATAATCTGGAGCAGTATGGACATCTCCCTACCGATATGCTTTGCGCACTTTTGCTTATTTTACCTGCTTCTCATTTCCAACTCATCCCAATCCATTCCACCACCATCCCATATGTTTAATGAAGTTTTTCACATTACACATGATCCATACTAGTTCTATTACATTCATTTACATACCAAAACTAAGTTTTCATTATAGTTTTACAAAAAAACGAATTCAAGGCCACAAGTCGGCCTTTCTTCATCGCTAGAGCCATGAATGAGAGCCGTCCATCAGTGTGTATCCCCCACCTAAAATATTTTCCCATATAGGGTGAGTCACGCTCAATAGAGTATCCCCTACAGAGGCTACTCCCCCAACCTAGAGGCATATACAATGTGCGCATGTACAATCAACAATCATTATCCATTCCAATCAAGAACAAGTAATTCAAGATGAAAATTCTACCATGTCATGTCATGATATGAGATAAGACTCACTCATGCATTTTATCTCNTTAGGGTGAGTCACGCTCAATAGAGTATCCCCTACAGAGGCTACTCCCCCAACCTAGAGGCATATACAATATGCGCATGTACAATCAACAATCATTATCCATTCCAATCAAGAACAAGTAATTCAAGATGGAAATTCTACCATGTCATGTCATGATATGAGATAAGACTCACTCATGCATTTTATCTCAAGTCCTCACCGACTCCCACAACACAATGCAATGCACGTGTTTATAAAACCAAATCATTATTGGATGTTGCCCATTAAATGAGTACTTTGTAAAATAAAATCATGTGTCTTTATTGGGTATCAGATTTTGGAATCACACCGCTGGCTCCATACGCCATTACACTTTTTCGAAATTTCACCATAAGGGAGTGTATGAACCAAGTAGCCAGGTTTTTCACCTGATGGAGAATCTATTCCTTCTTGCTATACCCGACACAAGTATTTCTTCGTGCAACCATGCGACTCAGTAGAATTTTCAATCCAACTTTTTCGAGCCCACCCATAAATCACTAAGTATGGCGTTTGATCACACCATGCACCCACACTTACACTCATGTTAAATGCCCATGAATGCAATGCCAACTTCATGCCCATTATGCAATGAATGTCAATGGGCACTTAAACCGCGTGTCAATATATCTCATGACAATTTATATCCTAAGCATATAATTACCACAATCATCATGATGCTAATATATTAACAACATATATTAACTCATTCATACTCAACAACATTTCACAAGCATATTACTACAAAATCTATGTCAATAACATGTTTTATCCACAAGGCACAATATTAACACATAGCATGCCACATAATCTTAAATTCCAAGAATTTTTACAAGTGCCATTTCCATATCAATTCAAGCTAGAATTTGATTTAGGCCATTTTCACACACATTCCCACATATCAACAACAATAGGCAAATGACCTATGTTGTTATATACACTTACCCATCCCATACAACATCCTAGATAAAAAATAAACCCGAGTAGGAGGAAACCCTACCTCTTGAAGTATGATACGAGTGGTAGAAAGCCTCAAGAACACCTCCCAAGCCCAAAACTCTTGATTTTCTCAAATCTCCTCTTTGGATCTTCAGTGAAATCCTTCATTTTTGGTAAGCGTAGCCCTCGTCGAGGTAATCGACTTTAACTCTTAGTCCAAAGGATTCTGACTGGCAGAACTTTGTAAATCGTAAAGAGAAGTCTTGATTTTCTCTTTTTCTTTTCTCTCTTCANATAGCCCTCGTCGAGGTAATCGACTTTAACTCTTAGTCCAAAGGATTCTGACTGGCGGAACTTTGTAAATCGTAAAGAGAAGTCTTGATTTTCTCTTTTTCTTTTCTCTCTTCACTCTCTTCCTCTTTTAACGTGAGAATCAGTTGATCAAGTGGGAAAGATTAGATATTTTCCCTTATTTATACCCTTTAGTTGTGCAACCCACGTCGCACTACAAGTTTATTATTTTCGGGTCCGTTTTTATCCCAAAACAACTTAATTTCATCCCGTTTTAAGTTCAATTTACTTTTATTTAAATTTTTATTTAATTATAAAGATATTTTATAAAATTTATTTTTTGGGATGTTTGTGAGGTCACCCGATACCCAGTTGTCTTGTAAAATATGAAAAATATGACTATCTCAGAATTTGATGAAAATTGATAGGGTAACTAGATTTCGCGAGAAGAATCTAACAGTGAGGTCCATTTCGTCATCCAATATCTAGAAAAATACGTATTTTAATTTCACATTATAATGACAAATTACAGTTTTACCATTTTTCAGAAAAAAGTTTATATTTACCCGAGTTTTACAAAAATTCTAGCCACTCATAGTCAAAGCAAAAACAAACATAATGTAAAGAGATATGGTGATGAAATAAAGCTTTAAACTTGTATTGATGCAAGAAGAGGTTAAACTAAAAAAGAAATTTCATTTCATACCCCAAATATAAGGCTTGGAAAGAAAAACCCAAATGTAGACATGGAATTACAAGAATATGAAGCTAAACTTGATTACAACTTGAAATAAATGAGTTTAAAGTGGAAGATGTAAAAATTACAAGTAATTTAAAGCTTACTATAATTGAAATGGTGGAGGAAATGCAAAAACCCAACTTTTTCTCTATACAACTTCATCTTCTTTCTTGGACCTTCTCTCTCTACACTACTCCTAAGCTTAGTTAGCCTTTTCCAAAAGCTAGTAAAAACTGAATAATGGTGTAAAGCCTTGGTAAATTTTTTCCACCCCTTCCCTTAACCTGTGTGAACTGAGTTGCATGAATGGGGAGAGGTTGGACACTTGAACAAGAAAAAATAGGCCAAGTATGCTCATCCCATGCTTTCCCAACCACCCCTCTTCTCTCTCTTGATTCCCTCCTTTCTCTCACTTGAAATCTGAATTTCGGAGTTAGGAGAGCATTGTGGGGTGTCAATTTTGTCAAGGTACGGTTTGGAGGTCAAGAGGTGGGCCCCCGGAGTACGTGGAGTTGTGTGGGAAAGTGATTGGGCTTTTTGGGCAAGTTATACCGATAAAACGTCAAAAACCTAAACGTAGAAAACTTCCAGTAGGTTTTTCTACTAGTAGGCTTTAAGGTTCTACCAGTAGGTCATAAAGGGGATGCTAGCTTAGAACTAGACTTTATAAATTTGTCATAAATTTTTATCCCACTGTCCGATTGAGCAAAAATTTTGACATAAGACAGAGAACATCCAGACATATAACTTTTATGTTTTTCACTCTTTCAGATTAGAAGTGGATCATGGTTATATTACGAGATACTGATACCTCCTTGATTTCTTTCACTTTTAAGCCTCCAAATCCTCATGTAATCTGTCCATTTATTCACCACTCATCAACACTTAGTTGAAGAATTTCGAAAGCTATCAATTACTCTATGATGAACTGTAACATCAAAATTTTCACATTATTCACAAATTTGACAATCTCTAAGTAATTAAATGAAAAGTTAAGTTAAAATGCATGTAATGATACTGTTAAATATGCACTATGACGTGTTCATCACTAGGTACCTAGGTAGAAGCATCTGGCACTGAGTCTTCTTGACAATCTCCCTTCTCATGTGGTGTGAGCTCAGCCACAAAATTTATTAATGCTAGTGCCTTTGCGGCTGCTCTTTGAGAATTCAAGTATAGGTGGTGATGATGAAGGCGATGACTCACCCCGGCCTAGCTTTAGTGATATCCTTGGTGTTTATCTATATCTGAACTTTTGCCAATAATTCTGGCATACTCTTTCGTGGGTGTTTCATCAATAAGAAGGAAAAGCTAGATGAACGTAGGCCTCCCAGGAGAGTGGTAATGGTGACCTTATCATCAGGCTCCTCAATTTGGAGGACCTCCTCGTTAAAATGAGGTAACTCCTCAGGCTCTCATCCCGATCCTGCTTTATGCTGAGTAGATAGGTGGCAAGCTTCTGGTGGTGGTGTCCTTTGATGAAGTGTGCAACAAAGGATCTATTTAGTTCGGTGAAGGAACCTATGTTGGTCGGGATGAGCTTGGCGAACCACTGACGAACAGATCCCTTCAAGGTAGTTGGGAAGGCTCTGCACATGATTTCGTCAATAATGTTATTCAGCTGTATCAGGGATTTGTGGGTGTCGAGGAGATCTAGTGGGTCTTTTGTGCCATCAAATACCTCTACTATTGGCATTTTAAATTTCCATGGGAGATGATAATTTTCCCCATCAGCTATGAAAGACGTATCAATGCACTTCACGAGGTACTCAATAGTTGCAGGTCCTTGCACCTTCATGGCGTTGAAGACGTCACCATGTTGGTTCTGCACTTTCTTGATTTTCTTGTCCCAATGATTGGGGACTCCTTTGGAAGGGTAATTGAAGTGGCTTTTGTGATCCAAACTCTGATTTTTCCCCTTATCTTCTTGGAGAGGAGGGTCAACAACATGGAAGGATGGAGCTGGTGCAGGAGGTGGAGGGGTCATCCATTGGCGCTAAGGAGGGGTTCCCCGATGCTACAAAGGGCCGCCTTGACAAGTAGCCTGGCAATAGGTGCCCAACTGGGAGCCTCCTTGGCACCCTGGGCAAGGTGTCTGAGGTGCTCCTTTGGCTGGGTGTTCTNCAGGAGGTGGAGGGGTCATCCATTGGCGCTAAGGAGGGGTTCCCCGGTGCTACAAAGGGCCGCCTTGACAAGTAGCCTGGCAATAGGTGCCCAACTGAGAGCCTCCTTGGCACCCTGGGCAAGGTGTCTGAGGTGCTCCTTTGGCTGGGTGTTCTTAACTTGATCCGAAATGTGTACACCCAAGTACAAGCGATCAAGTTATAGTAATAATCTGGTTAAATCTAGAGTCGAATCCACAAAGAACTAATGTTGGTGTTTCGAAGTAAGTAGTGATAGAGACCAAAGTGACTGGAACCCTTAAGATTTAAAGTGATGATCTTTATGGATTTTTCCTGGACAGAATGTAAGATTCTTTCCAAGTGAAATTTTTAGACAAAATATAATATTCTCTCAAATGTAAAAGTCACCCTTTAGCTTGAGGATCTGAATTTGTAGTCAATCATCTAGTTGTTATACTTTTGCTTGGGAACTTAATTAACCCCTGTGTAAACATAAAGTTAATTGGAAGATAAAAATGGATTGTGACAATTAAGATCATGGTTCCGATGTCTTTGTAGAGATTTACAAGAATTATCTATGTTGAGACTTAACCTGTCTACAAACAAGCAAGTCTTTCTACAAGGCATCCGACCCTTGTGTTGGTATTCCATTCTTAGTTGAAGTACAATAATGGTGAAGGTTGACAGGTAGTCATGAAGATATAACTAGAGTANAATGGATTGTGACAATTAAGATCATGGTTCCGATGTCTTTGTAGAGATTTACAAGAATTATCTATGTTGAGACTTTACCCGTCTACAAACAAGCAAGTCTTTCTACAAGGCATCCGACCCTTGTGTTGGTATTCCATTCTTTGTTGAAGTACAATAATGGTGAAGGTTGACAGGTAGTCATGAAGATATAACTAGAGTATTTGCAAAGGACCAATGCGTCTTCCTATGCCAAGAGTCATCTATGTCATAGAAATGACTCATAGTTGTGCAAAGTACCTTAACTTTGCTAGATGCATTAAATCATTCGATAAGCAAGTAAAAGATAAAGCATTAAGCATAATCGAAATGCATAAAGATAACTTCCGAACAATTTATGCATGTCCATAACCTCTTACTAAAGAGTGAATGAAGAATTACTCACTCTTCATGACTTTGGTAAAGCTAGAAAAGTGAGTGATTCTCATCCCTTCAAGTAAAGGAGTTACAAGATAAAACACGTTACACAATGAGCCTATTTTTGACGAAGAATAAATGAATCATTTTCCACCCTTCACGGCTTTGGTAAAGCTCTAAAAAAGTGGAAGAGTTTCATTCCCCTAAGGGAATAAGGAAGCTCAAATAACATAAGCAAATGAAACTAATAATGAAAGTGGAAGAAAGCTAGTCACTTTTGGAGGGTTTCTTCCTCAACCAAAAGATGATTTTTCTCCCTCTATGTATGTCTATCTATAGCTAAGTGCAAGTGTATGCAAGTCTAAGTCTAAGTTCAAGTCTTCTTTGAAGCTACCACAATGGGAGTATTTATAGGCAAAGAGGAGGGAGTAAAGAAGTGTGAAAGAATAGTACAAAGTCTTCAAAATACAAGTGAATGCCCCAAGGTTCGGATAGAAAATCAACCACTCTGCAACTTGTCTGGGGACTACACTCGAACGTTGATTAGTGTTCGAACGTTTACTCCTGTCTTTTGTTATGGGCGTTCGAACACTTAATGGAGTTTGAACGTTTAATGGAGTTTGAACGTGGACTCAAGTGGCTCCTGTCACCTACAGTAGATAGCAAGCCATGACTCATCACCCTGGCAGTCTAGTCCTCAAATAATTCAAGAGGACGTTCGAACGTGGATTGGTGTTCAAACATTGTACTCAAGTAGCTCTTAGTCTTCTATAAAAATAATTACAACACACCATAAGCCATCACTTTAGCAATCTGGTCTTCAAATAATTCAAGAGGACGTTCGAACGTGGACTGGCGTTCGAACATTCATGCCTTATTTCAAACTTCTCCAATTTTCTTCCTGAACATGTGGGTGTTGCATGTAAGTTTGGCATCCATTGAATTTAGGCCCTTGTACAATTTTTCTCCTGAAATATCATCATTGAAACTCTATCAAAGCATAATTAGTCTTCAAAAGGCATAGTAAGTTGCTAATTTTTACTACTAATTAGTTTTGCCCCTAGGTGACCACCTCCTTGTCCAACAAGCATCAACAGGAGAATCTACTGGTTTTGGTTTACCAACAATTGCATTGTCTTCAGTAACATTTAATATGGGTCAGGAATGGGATTGGGGCAAGACCTCCTCCTCATGTGGTGGATCATCCTAAGGCTGATTGATTCATGGATNGGTTTTGGTTTACCAACAATTGCATTGTCTTCAGTAACATTTAATACGGGTCAGGAATGGGATTGGGGCAAGACCTCCTCCTCATGTGGTGGATCATCCTAAGGCTGATTGATTCATGGATCTAGTAGTGATCGTCATAGATGCCAAAAGAAATATGATTGGGCGAAAACTTTGTCGATTCCCACAGACAGCACCAAACTAACTATCAAGTGATTAGTATGATTTATAAAATGCAGTAAATATGATGGAGAACTCAACACAATCAANCGTCATAGATGCCAAAAGAAATATGATTGGGCGAAAACTTTGTCGATTCCCACAGACAGCACCAAACTAACTATCAGGTGATTAGTATGATTTATAAAATGCAGTAAATATGATGGAGAACTCAACACAATCAACGTACAAAGATAGAGTGGTTCGATTAAGATTACCTACTATATTTTGAAGGGCTTTGGTTGCCGAGGTGTTTTATTATTGTAGGAGTGTGGAGAGCTCAGGTGAATCAAGTGTGAGATCAGGTTCAAGGTGTGAGAGATGTCTCCTATGTGTAGGCGGGGCTTACAATTTATAGGCGCCACATAATAGATTGAGGCGCATTATCACTAGCAAAAAGGCTAATTTTATGGAGTGGGGCATCATCCTCGCAACAGATGAGGTGGTTGTTGAGAGGGCATGGAGATCTCCTCAAAACCAGCTCCCAAGATGGCGTGGTTGACCTCCTCACTCTAGGATGACATGGATAAAACTCTAAGATGACGTTCTGGCTTCTTCACTCTAAGATGGCATGACTGTCGTGACTTTGGTGAACTTGACTTAATATGGGTCTCTTCTAGGCCGGACTCATTGGGCTTCGTCTGGACAGGGCCCACTATCTAAATTAGCCTTGTCTAGGCCAGACCCACTATCTGAATTGGGCGTTGCCTGGGCCGGGCCCATTATCCGAGTTTGGCCTTGGGCTGGGCTCATCAAAAATAAAAACAAATTCCTTTGCAAACCCCGGAAAGCTACCCGGTGACGTTTAAGCATATGTCCGTATTTCTTTCTCTGGCACCGAATGCTGGCGGGATATTTGCTGGAGTTTATGAAATGCCAGGAGCTATGCCAACGCCGGTATAATCGATCTTTTTGTCAAACGCTAGAAAACCGCCGGAAATGGGTTTGGCCGGCATATTTTTCATGTTCAATGGCGTTTAACAAAAGCCGGAAATATCCGAATTTCTTGTAATGTCTACTGTACCAGTTCCTGTTGCTCGTAGTCTTATCATTTTGCAGCATCTAGCTCACAGGCATGTGATCACACTGCCTTGTTTGATGAGACATGCAGAAGGATGGATGCTTTTCAGACTTCTCTATTTGATCATTTTGACAGTCTTAGCACCGAGTTAGGACATCTTGTTGCTGATCATAGGGATTTTGTTGATCATTAGAGAGGCAAATGACACGATGAGTCATGAGATCACTACGATGCATAATATGATTAGTAGTAATGCTGCACTGACCAACTTTTAAGATTAAATTTAAAGTTTAAATGACATGACAGCTGACTTAGACTTTTTAATTGGTATAATGTCATTTGGGCCTCAATAAATACTCCAAATAATATGCTACATTGATCAAATGACATACAACATATTATTTAGAATATTTATTGAGGCCCAAATAACATGATACTAATTAAAAAAATCGAAGTCAGCTATCATGTCATTTAAACTCCAAATTTAGTCCCAGAATTTGTGATGTCGGTTACTTAGTCCTACTCCTAGTGACATTGAGAGAGCTAAGAGAGATGGAGATGGTGAGGAAAAATCTGAAGGCGGCGTTTGATTAGATTATATTTCCCGAGATTAGTTGCATATCTTTGAGATTTCAATGTCTTCGTTTCTTTTAATTTATGATAGTGACAAACTATGTTTTTATTGCTTTATGATATTTCTAGTTTGTTAAATGTGTACGCATTCTTTCTCTTTTTGTTTTCTTTTTGATGTTATGTTACTGGCCGGTTCATGGCAATAAGAGGAACAAGTGTTTTCGTGATTTACTTAGATACACACATCACTTGGTTATTGGGGAGAGACACAGTAGATCTTCCCTCGCGATAAATTTAGCTTAATTGATGGGGATTGTTGAATATATTTGGCTTAATTGAGGTTCCGTTTGTTAACGTTTATGTTTCATATTTTTTTTTTTTATTTTTTTTTTGATATTTAGAGAAAACAAGAAAAAAAATTCGTTTGATAATCGATTTTATTTTATTTTATTTTGTAAACNATATTTTTTTTTTTATTTTTATTTTGATATTTAGAGAAAACAAGAAAAAAAACTCGTTTGATAATCGATTTTATTTTATTTTATTTTGTAAACGAGTGACGATTTTTAAANGTATTTTTTATTTTTATTTTTTTTTTGATATTTAGAGAAAACAAGAAAAAAAATTCGTTTGATAATCGATTTTATTTTATTTTATTTTGTAAACGAGTGACGATTTTTAAAAACAAAAAAAAATACGTTTTTGAAAAACCCAAAAATTTTTAACGCGCATTTGTTATTAATAAAGTCAAGGAATCGAGTCTTGTTAGCACCAAACAGACACATTTATTGGGCACCCATATAAATAGCAATACCTCCCAAACCCTAACCCTTCAAACCTCTCACCTCTTCGTCGCCTCTGCTCTTTCTCTCTTTCTCTCTCTCTGCCCAACGAAGACATTGATACTTGCTCCAGTCTGCGTCGCCTCTGTTCTTCTTTTTTTTTTTCTCTCTCTGTTGCTAAGGTGAAGGGTTCTCCTTTACCAG